CAACTCCCGACGCTATTCCATACCCATGGTAGTGCTTGGCAGCCTGGCTCCAGACCAGGCCGCTGCACGTGGCCTTGACAGCACGTCGCAGAGTCACGGCAAAATCCAGGGCCTCAGTGTAGAGGTCGTTGCCAAAATTGTCACGCCAATGCACTGGATACAATGGGCACCAGCCCAGGTCAAGCAAGACAGCAACAGTGGCGGCGATCGGCCCACGGACCCGTTTCCAAACTTGGTTCCTGGGGATACTGACGTACTCCTGAAACCGAGCCTGCCAGACCTGGGAAACACGCAGCTTCTCCTTATCACAAAGGGATTTTCAAAGCGTCACAAAACCAGATAACTGTTCACGCCGTAGACGAAAAATAGGATCATTCTTCTCGGCCCCGAAGACGCTCAGGATGGTGGTAGAACAAGCTCCAGCATGCCAGTGGCCAGAGCAGACAGCGGCCTGCCCACGCGCACTCTGCACTTGGGCCCCAGAGAGGCCAGCAACATTGTGGCCCCAGGTGCCTACGGCAAGCACGCCTGGTTTGTAGAGCTTAGACGATTTCTTGACCAGTGTAGTCAAGTAGCGCACTTTCTTGCCTCGAGCGGCGGCCTTCCGCCGCCTGGCACGAACGATGGCAGCAGTCCTCCTCCTTCCTGCCGTGGTGGCCGTACCCAAATCACGAGTAACATCTTCAACCCTGACTGAGAGGCCTGCTGCTTTCAAATCAGTAGCGACAAGAAGTGCAAGAGGCCGTCGGTTCGCGACAACCGCAGACTTATTAGATAAAACAAGCTCGGCTGCATTAACCAAATGACCTAGCTGAACTGCTGCGGCAACAATCTGCCGTCGGACCTGGTCTCCGGCTCCCTGGCACACCCGGGATATGTCGTCAACGTAAGACCTGGTAGACACACTAGGATTCCCAAAGAAATACCGATTATGCACATCATTCAATATCTGATATAAGTACGCCTTGACCCAGGACATAGACTGCATACATCCAGGGAGGACGCCAATCCCAGCAGGTATGATCTGGGAGCAAAAGCCGCTACTCTCGAGCATCCTGGGGGCCACATGCACGAGGAGGCCCAGGTACAAGAGGTGCGGTGGGAACCTCAAAGCAGTGGCGAAACGAACAAGCCTAGCAGGGATAACAGTATCAAAGAATTTTTTGAGATCCCAGTGGATCGCAACACTGGAGACTTCCTGGAAGGCAGCCACCTCGTGGGACAGCTCTCGGCGAAGCGCAGCTTGAAGGGCGGAACTGCCCCTGATGGCGTCATCCCAAAAGTCAACATGGCCTTGACTCCAGGCCCCCAAGAAATCCCCGCGAACTTTACAGCAGATGCGGTAAAGGGTGGGGCAGTTGCAAACGGGGCGCTCATCAACCTTGCTTTTGGGAAGCAAGCAAATAATGCTAAGGAGAGTTTGGGCAGGCCACATCATATTGGCCTCACAATCATTCAAGAGCCCGACGAGAGCATCGGCGGCACCTAACTCCAAGTCCAGGAACTCCCGAGGTCTCCATCCGTCCACTCCAACCGCAGTGGTCTCAGAGAAGACCCTCGCAGCGAGATGGAGGTCTCGAGTGGTGATCTCGGGAAGTTCGGGCAACAAATCCAACGCGCAAACACGCAGCTCGTCCAACGCCCCAGTCAACTGTCGAATCTGGATTGGGCTGGCAGTCCAAAATCCACCCCAGATTTTTTCACGGTGAGCCATCATCTCCTGCGGGAGCTGGAGAATACCTTCAGGGGCAACAAAAAACTCTAACCCCTCCTGTTCTTCACGCCTAAGCCAGGCGTGAGCTTTGGCGGCACCTCGGGGCAGCGCCTTCAACAGCCAGTCCTTAATCGCCTTAGCTGCTGACGCGCGGGCAACCTGCCAAGCCTTAGAGAGGACTGCCGTGCAACGATCTATCATGTCCTGACATCGGTCCAGATCTACCGATTTCAAATCGCAAAGCTGAGCCTGCCACTGGTGGGCAATCTGGTCGGCAGGTAGACACTCGCAATACTGTAGGACTCGACGTCCAAGTGCTCCCAGCCGAGAAGAGATGGATCTCAGCATACAACCATAACCTTTCTTAAGAGCAACGCGCATCTCATACAACTTCTGGGAGACAGTGGACCAGTAAGTAAGCGTCGGCTGGGCAAAACACCCACTCCGCTGAGCATGATCAGTAAGAGTAGCATGTCGGAAAACCACAAAGTCACCCCGTCCTCGATAAACCTCCATATCCTCATCACCCCCAACAACCACTGACATCATCATCCTCTCCTTCGTGCGAGACCATAAGAGGTAAGACGAGGTCAGCTCGTGGGAAAGGTGGGCCTGGACATGAGGAAGCTGGGGCTGCAGTGCTGCTTGTGGTGGAGTCCACTCCGCCAGCTCAGCATTAAAGTGGCATTCCCAAGGAAGCGCAGGTCCTTCATACACAGGCAAGACTTTTGGCCGCACACGCTTGGTCATCTCCTGTAGCAAGGCTGCATGCGGCAAGCGGACCTCCAGACAACAGTGAGTCTTGAAGGGAGAAGCCTGGTACTTGGACACGCGCAAGTATGGAGCCAGGGTATCACTGGCAATCACATAGTCAATCAAAGAACCACCGCCATTGCTACACGTGAAAGCGACACCTGCGGGAGGCAAAGCTTTCGCACGAGTCATCTTCAGAAAGCCACATACCTCCATGTGATCCAGGCCTATGTTGTAGTCCCCCATCAGAAACCAGGGAATAGTGAGCGTGTTCACGAACGCTGTGATTTCTGTCATCTTCAGGATGTTTTCCCCCGAGACCCCCAGGGCAGCTATCATATATACAACGCCGACGGCCATCGCACAGGATTGGGTTCGGAGTTCCAGAAACATCCAGCCATTACCAGCACCAACGTCCCGAATTTGGCCAGCATGGGCCAGGAAACGTTTGAAAAACAGGCCTTTGTGCACCGCCGCTCCTACACCACCATGGGCCCCGCCGCCAGGGGAGGGCGTGGCAGGGAGGAAATGGGGGCGCCACCCAGCGGTGGCGACATCACGCTTAGCCGACTTCAAATCGGCGGGGAGCTGGCGGTGTTCGGCGAACATAAAGGCGTCAGCCTTGCCATACAACTGCGAAACGAACGATTTAGCCAGAGCACTCCAGCTGGTTATGTTACAAAAAAGCAGGCGCAGGCCAGACTCACTAAAGCGGCGGCGGCATCTCCGCGACCGCAGCCTTGAAGAGCTCCTTGAACCCAGCACCAACTTCACGTTGCACACGTCGAATGCGCTTGGCAGCACGGGTGTGGGCCTTCTCGAACATGAGGCTCTCCATGCGGGTCTGGTCGGCGTCCGCCATTGCACCTTCCATCGAGCGTTTCTTGAGCGCAGCCAATTCATCAGCACGCTCTGGGGGGAAGTCGCCAGCCTCGGAACCAGCGTCACTTCCAGCGTCGGACTGGGCACTGTCGTAGATCTGCTTCTGCATCTCCGCGAAACGTGCCACCAATCCGTAGGGAAGGTTGTTGACCTGGCAATACTCGCGAATCTGAGGACCATCCATAGAATGTAATTCAGGAATGTCGAGGTCCATGCGTTGTGGAGGTACAGCAGCAGGTGGCGCTCCACCCGACGTAGCTGGGCGACCACCCGCAGGTGCGGCACCTTCACCAGTCGGCGCATGCTGCGCAGGCCTCTGCGGGGCCGAGGCGGGGGCGGCCGCCTGGGCCGCGCGGGTAGCCTCGGCCGCCGCTGCGGCCTGCGCATGCTCCTGCCGCTTGGCATGAACCCACTCTTCCTGAGAGAAACGAGCCACGGTATCATCGGCATCACGCTTCTTCTGCTCAGCAACACGGTACTCACCTTCTGCTTGTTGATGATGGTCACGTGCTTCTCGAAGCGCTTCTTCCAACTTTTGGACCTTGTTGGCACGGTGGTGCACCTCCTGTGAGGCCAGGCGCACCGCTTTGGCGAATATCTCCACCTCCTTAGTAAGCCGAGTGTGCTCATGTCGTGCGGCATCTGCATACTGTGCCGGCGTCCACTCTTCAGATGCAACTGGAGGCGGAGGAGCCAATCCACCGAGAACATTCTGCAAATCGGGGCGTGCAGCGAGCAGAACCGCAGCTGCAGCACGTAGTTGAGGGTCTCCGTCGGGAGCACCTTGTCCATTCCCTCCAGCATCACCACCAGCGGGTTGGCCACCATCTCCTTGCTCAGCATCACCGAGGTACAGCCCGCCACAGCGGGAGCAGCACCAGTTGCCATGGTACTTGAAATCCCAGTGGCGACAGGCGGAACAGACATCATACTCAAGATTGGAGGTTCTGGCAGCCTTCTTCTTGTTGCTGCCCCGCCCCCATCCTGCATTACCACCACGCCCGCTTCGCCACGGGGCACTGCCGCGCCAAGCCATGGCGCGAGCACGTGTGGAAGGAGAAAGGAAAAGAAAAGCACACACAGTGCCGTGTTTGCAAAGATGGCCACCTGCTGGCCGCACGCTGGTCGAGGCGGCCAGGCCTGCAGAAGGGGCTGCCCTTCCACCTCGGCCTCGAGCCTCTGGAGTCGGGACGGGAGGTAAGCTCCGTCTTGAGCCAAAATGGCTACGGGAAGGAGGAGGAGGAGGAGGAGGAGGAGGAGGAGGAGGAGGAGGAGGAGGAGCAGTAGGGGGGAGGAGGAGGAGGAGGAGGAGGAGGAGGAGGAGGAGGAGGAGGAGGAGGAGGAGGGGGGAGGAGGAGGAGGAGGAGGAGGAGGAGGAGGAGGGAGGAGGAGGAGGAGGAGGAGGAGGAGGGGAGGAGGAGGAGGGAGGAGATAGAGGAGGAGGAGGAGGAGGAGAGGTGGAGGAGGAGGAGGAGGAGGAGGAGGAGGAGGAGGAGGAGGAGGAGGAGGAGGAGGAGGAGGAGGAGGAGGAGGAGGAGGAGGAGGAGGAGGGAGGAGGAGGAGGAGGAGGAGGAGGAGGAGGAGGAGGAGGAGGAGCAGGAGGAGGAGGAGGTGGAGGAGGGCCACCCTGCCCCCCACCCCCCTCGCGCGCCTCGCGGGCCCCGTGGGGCTGCCGGGGCCCTCCTCGCCCGACGCCATCGGGCCGCCCCAGCGCCGCGCCGCGCAGGCGCTCGACGGGCCCCCCCGCGGGGGGGGCCCAGGTGGCTGCGGGGCGGCGGCCCCCTCGGCGGCGGCCCCCTTGGCGGCGGCCCCCTCGGCGGCGGCCCCCTCGCCTGCGGCCCCCTCGGCGGCGGCCCTCGGCGGCCCGAGCAGAGAGGAGGCCAGGGCCGCCACGGCGGCGGCGGCGGCGGGAGGGCTTCCATCCTCGAGCCTCGATCCGCGTCGGCACCTCCGCGGGAGGCCTCGAGCGAGCCTCGAGCCTCGAGACTCGATCCTCGATCCGCGTCGGCGCTCGCGAGTGGCGCCCCCCTGTGGCGCTCAGAACTGCTCACAATCCGCGGCGAGCCCTCCTCCCTCCTCGCCCCCTCCTCGCGCTGTGGCGCCCTGCGGCGCTCAGATCTTCTCGATCCGCGGCGAGCCCTACCTCGCTCCCTCCTCGCGGTGTCGCGCCCTGTGGCACTCAGAACTTCTCGATCCGCGGCGATCCCTCCCTCCCCCCCTCCCTCGCCCCTCTCACCCCTTCCTCTTCGCACCTGGGCGCCCGTCGGCTCCTCGCTCGCAGGTGGCGCCTGCGGTGCCCCACAAATCGCGGTCCTCGTCGACCCTCCCTCCCTCTTGGAGGGGGGGCAGATTCGGCGTGCAGTGTGCGTCCAAAGAGGGCGGCCCAGAGAGGACAGGGCGCAAGGTCTCCCCCTCATGGCCTCACCACCCTCTCAGCTGACTCGAGCCAGTCACGGAGCACCTCAGCCCCCCAGCCGGCTCCAAGAGGCAGCCACATGTGAACCCTACCCCTATAGCTCAGATGTCCGAAACACCCGTATGGGATCATAATTCGAAAGATGTATGCAGCTGGATGTGCGATGAAAAGAAACGGGTCTTGCGCGAGAGGACATAACGACCTTACACCACGGCTGACGCTGGCCACCAGCGTGGCGCACCGCGTGGAGAAGGGGGCGCTCCCGCGCGAAGCTCTCGGCGCAATCGACCCCGTCTCCTGGCGTCGCTCGGACGAACCCCAGCGTGGGCGCACGATACCCCAGCGTCGATTGGACCCGTAGGGTCGCAGGTTCATCCTCCTCCTCCTCCTCCTCCTCCTCCTCCTCCTCTCCCCCTCCTTCTCCTCCTCTCTCCTCCTCCTCCCCCCTCCTCATCCCACTCCTCCTCCTCCTCCTCCTCCTCCTCCTCCTCCTCCTCCCTCCTCTCCTCCTCCTCTCCTCCTCCTCCTCCTCCCTCCTCCTCCTCCCTCCTCTCCTCCTCCTCCTCCCCCTCCTCATCCCACTCCTCCTCCTCCTCCTCCTCCTCCTCCTCCTCCTCCTCCTCCTCCTCCTCCTCCTCAGCCTCCCTCTTCCCCTCGCAGGAAGGGAGCGGGCCTGTGGGCGCCTGCCTCGCCCGGGCTGCCCGGCGCGCGCTGCGGCGTCGACGGGGTCCACTCGCGCGCGTTGGGGTCCTGTGCCCGAGGCCGGGCCCCCCGGGAGGTGGCCTCGGTGAGGGGAGGAGGAGGAGGAGGAGGAGGAGGAGGAGGAGGAGGAGGGCGGAGGAGGAGGGCGGAGGAGGAGGAGGAGGAGAAGGGAGGAGGAGGAGGAGGAGGAAGTGGGAGGAGGGAGGAAGAGGGCGGAGGAGGAAAAGGAGGAGGAGGGCGGAGGAGGAGGAGGAGGAGAAGGGAGGAGGAGGGCGGAGGATGAGAAGGAGGATGAGAAGGAGGAGGAGGGCGGCGGAGGAGGAGGAGGAGGACGAGGACGAGGAGGAGGAGGAGGAGGAGGAGGAGGAGGAGGAGGAGGGGGGGAGGGGGGGAGTCAGAGAGCGAGGAGCTTGCCAGGTCTCCTGGTAGATCTGCATCATGCTCTCTACCTAAGTGACAGGGCGGAGGACCCAGAGTCGGTAGGGCGGGCCGGGCGATTCGCCTGACTCTTCACCGCGATGTGTGATCCTGGAGCTTACAGTGTGCAACGGTTTTACAAACGGAGTTCGGGTCCTTCTCAGAATGTTGCTCTCGCCATAGCGCCGCGCACATTCGTGGTAAAGGTTTCTCAAGAGGTACTCGGATGGAGGGCGGGTCCTTCTCAAAATATTGCTTTGGCCATGTCGCCGTGACATTCGTCCTAAAAGTTTGCAGGAGCTTCCTGGGAGGAGGGCGGGTCCATTTCAAGGTGAGGCTCTCGCCTTAGCGCCGCGCACATTCGTCTTAGACGTTTGCCTGAGCTTCTGGATGGATGGAGGGCGGGCTGTTTTTCAAAATGTTGCTCTCGCCTTCGCGACGCGCACAATCGTCTTAAAGGTTCGCAAGAATTTACATGGATGGAGGGCCGGTCCTTTTCAAAATGCGGCTCTCGCCTTCGCGCAGAGCACATTCGTCTTAGAAGCTTGCAACACACTCACGGATGGAGGACGTGCCCTTCTCAAAATGCGGCTCTCGCCTGAGCGCCGCGAGCATTTTAAGTTTGCGACAATCTCACGGGTGGAGAGCGGATCCTTTTCAAGATGCGACTTTCGCCATAACGCCGCGCACATTCGGGACACAAAGAGTTCGCAACAGTCTCATGGATGGAGAACGGGTCCACTTCAAAATGTTGCTCTCGCATTGGCGCCGCGCAGATTCGTCGTGAAAGTCGGCAAAAGTTTCACGGATGGACGGCGAGTCCTTTTCAAAATGCGGCTCTCGCCTAAGCGCCAGGCACATTTTTAACTTTGCAACACATTCACGGATGGAGGGTGGGTCCATTTCAAAATGTGGCTCTCGCCTGAGCGTCGCGCACATTCGTCTTGAAAATTCGCAAGAGTTTCAAAAATAGATGGCGAGTCCTTTTGAACATGTCGCTCTCGTCTCAAGGCCGCGCACACTCGTCTTAAGAATTCACAACCGTTTCAATGACTCTTGCGGACCTTCCAGACATGGTGTCTTGGCTCGGTGCAGGACTGTCATGTCCGTCATGTGCGCAGCAATCACATGGATTCGCGGCGATGAAATCCCAGGAATGGTGTTCTGGCATGACCCAGGATCGTCAGGGAGCAACAGTAACGTTGATTCGGGGCGTTGAGAAATCTCAGGAATGGCTTTTTTGCACGGTTCATGATTTTCAAACGGTTGTCTTCCAACGCGGCACTTCCCTCAGCGAAAATGTATCGTTGCAGGGACCTGTGAAAAAGGGGGAATTTAAAGGGAGGGTGCATTGCAACATCGTTGATGGGTCTTGGATTTACACTGGTCCACCTCATCCTGTTCCTCGTTTGTTCCATTTTTCCTCCTGCGGGACCGACCCCCACTCTACCCCTCGTCCCTCCATGTGCCTTTAGGGAGGCGGGGAGGGCGGGGGGGAATTGGTAGAACGGTAAGAACATCGAGGATCAAGGAGGAAAAGACGGCGGATAGGAGAAGAAAAAAGAAAATGAGATCACAAGACGAGGAAATTCCGGATAGGAGCAGGAGGAGAGTGGATGGACGGCCTCATCCAGCTCCTCCTCCAACTCATCGTCCTCATCCTCCTCTTACTGCCCCTCCGCCTGCTCCTGTTCCTCCTCCTCCGATAAGCCCAAACCGACATCGAAAGGGTGATGCCTACCCTCGACAGCTTCAGCTCAATACAATGCAACTCCCCCCTGAAGCTGCGAACGATGAGTCCAACACTCCTCGGTCCTTGTTTCTCGTCCTCCCGCTCATCCTCCTCCTCCTCGTACTACTACTGCTACTACTACTAGTACTACTACGACTACTACTACTACCACTACTACTACTACTACTACTACTACTACTACTACTACTACTACTACTACTACTACTAAGACTACTACTACTACTACTACTACAGCTACTACTACTACCACTACTACTACTACTACTACTACTACTACCACTACTACTACTACTACTACTACTATACTACTACTACTACGACTACTACTACTACTACTACACTACTAACTACTACTACTACTACTACTACTACTACCGACTACGACTACTACGACTACTACTTACTTACTACTACGACTACGATAACTACTACGACGACTACTCTACTACCTACTACTACTACTACTACTACTACTACGACTACCACGACGACGACTACTACTACTACTACTACTACTACTAGTACTACTACGACTACGACTACGACTACGACTACTACTACTACTACTACTACTACTACCACTACCACCACTACCACTACCACTGCTGTTGCGACGACGGCTACTACTACTACTACTACTACTACTACTGCGACGACGACGACGACTACTACTACTACAACTACTACTACTGCTACTGCTACTACTACTAACTCCAACTACTATTACGACTACGACTACGACTACGAATACTAGTGCTACTACTACTACTACTACTACTACTACTACTGCAACTACTACTACTACTACTACTACTACTACTACTACTACTACTACTACTACTACGACTACGACTAGTACTACAAGTACTGAACCTACTACTACTACTACTACTACTACTACTACTACTACTACTACTACTACGACTACTCCTACGACTACTACTACTACTACTACGACGACGACGACTACTACTACTACTACTACGACTGCTACTACTACTCCTACTACTACGACTACTACTACTACTGCTACTGCTACTACTACCACTACTACCACTACTACTACTAATACTACTACTACTATCTCAACCACTACTACTGTTACTACTGCTGCTACTACTACTACTACTGATGATAATGATACTACTACTGCTACGACTTCTACTACTACTGCTACTACTACCACTACTACCACGACTACTACTACTACCACTACTACTACTACTGCTACTACTACTACGGCCACTGCTACTACTACGACGACTACTACTACTACTACTACTACTGCTACGACTACTACTACGACTACAGCAGCTGCTGTCACTAGTACTACACTACTACTGCTAGCACTACTGCTGCTATTACCACTACTACGACTGCTACTACTACTACGACTACTACTACTACGGCTACTGCTACTACGAGTGCTACTACTACCACCACTACGACTGCTACTACTACTACTACTACGACGACCA